ATCAGAAGCAAATTAGGTGAACTATTGATAGATTTACCGCAGCTCATGAATCAATAGTGAAGAATAAAACGAGCCCTCAAAAATTTCCAAAACCCCAGACGTTATTCTGTCGAACGAACATATCTATTTACTTCACCCTAATGGTGTTGAACTTCGAAGGACGTTATTATTTTGTGAAATAATTGGATTTTGAAATACGAGTTCAATAAAAATGACTCAAAATGGAGCCGAGTATATCAGAAAATAATTATAAAACATCTGTCAAATCGGATGCGCGGTCCTAGAAAGTAGGTCACTTCATTCGTTTTTCCCTGCTCTTTCCAAATATTGAAACAGATCTAAAAAAATTTGCCATACAGAGTGTTGTTTTTGATATAAAATAAGTTTTCTGTTTTTCCTCAAGACGGACCTGGATTCTGATCCCGATTTCCATTTAGTTTTGATGGGTAATATAAGTGAAATAGTTCTACCAAGTATGGATAGATTATGCAAAGTGGTTCAAAAGCTATGACCAGATGATGATTTTGCCAAAATCAAGATATCGTCCTGTATCTCAGTTATAAAAAACGGTAGACACATCAAAGGGGGGTGATTTCGAATCATCACAGTGTCCCCTATCTACAGGTATCGTATGTACATTTAAATCTGAAACACCCTGTATAAGAGGCTGACATTAATCATTCCAGAATTACGTCATTTGACAGGTTGCTTAGGGGCAAACATTGTGTTCTGTCAAGATTTGTCATATGAAACCAGAATTAGTGGGTTCGTTTTCCTTGGCATCCGAGTTGGAACCAGAAAGAATTTCATAATTTTGTTTGGTGAAACTGTTTTTATATTGTGGATGTGGCAGGGACGGCCAGAGCAATGCTCATCAAAGGTAACCTAACAGATAGTTTTTGTGCCCCTCAAGAAACCATGTCAAAATCACGTGTTCTAGAATGATCAATTCGTTTACTTGTCCATAAAGGAGGGCGCTCTCCTGGATACGCTACTGGTCTACTGTCTACAACCAGCGAATCAACTCATGCCTCGGCCTCGATGTGCCTCGATACATGCAATTCATTTCATCATTTGTCAACAGAGTTTCACTTCTCATTCCCACTATTCTGTGACTGGTTGGTATATTTTTGGATCAGGCGGCCAGTTTGGTTTGGGTACCTACTTATAACTGCTAGACTGACACTGATAGTGATAGTACCTCTGTTCTGTTTGTATCTGAGGATAAACTTGTCTGAATCTGAATACAGATATGAGAAAAGATACTTGATACAGAAATGATAATCTCTTAACCTCGAATTATCGTGTTTGTGATATGGATATATATTTTTGTGCGAGTTATACTAATAATTTCACTGCAAAGTTCGCCCAGTGCAAATTGTAAGTGTTTGGTAGGTACCTAGTGGAACACCTAGTAGAAGACAGTGCAGTGTAGACAATATTCACGGTAAGTCAAGGTTGTTCGAGTTGACTGTTTATGTTGATTCCACGTGAACATTGAATGGACTCACCAATTTAATTGCCTATTGTGTTTTGTCATGGTAGGGACTAGGGTCAACGTTATTTTAGAATATATCTATTTAGATCAGGAACTCGATCATGAAAACCGGGTGTCAACGAATCTATTAGACAAGTCATAACTTCTAGACCATCAGGTGTATCAAAATGAGATTTGGTAAAGATCAATTGTATGTGAAGAGGAAAGTTTTCACATATTTTTCACTTTCCGGTCACTTCCGGTTTCACCGGAAATGGCTCCGGTTCTAAATATTTAAATGGAACACCCTGTATATTGTAACATTTTTGGATTTCTGAGACAATTCTAGATCAGAATGTGACATTTTCGAAAGTTTTTATGCCTTCTCAATTTTTTCGGAGTCACTTTTGAGATTACATCTAGGTGGACATGATCGGAAGTAAACTAATCTAAGGACCTCAGGTGATATCAGGAAATCACAATCGCGAAGTTTTTGTGACAAGTATGATAGATATGAATAAGACAAGTTGGCAAAATTACATTTTCGTGTCTAACTATTATTTTTCAAATGGCGACCATTTTTGACAAGCACTTTCCGAAGAAAGGATAGTTTGAGTAGTTTGACGAATCTAACGATACTTATTTGTTTGCGATTAGATTACAAATAAGAACATAAATTAAATATTACTGACGAGAATACTTCATAATAATTTATTTACTCTTGTCAAGTGTGCCGAGGATAGGCATGGTGCATAATATTTTGCAGTTATTTCGATCAAGTCTTCTTGGGAGAACAAAACACTCACTTAGGTTATGACAGTGACATAAGAAGCTTCAAGAGCAGAAGGTGAAATTTCCTTGATTTTCGTTAAATTTTAGTTTAATTTTCCGTCAAAATAATCTACCTACCCCCTCATAATACCAGATACGTTCTTGATTACTTAATAGAGCATTTCAATAATCAAGTTATTGCAACCAATGGACCAATACGGTGGCCTGCCTGCTCACCGGATCTGACTGTGCTAGATTTCTTCATTTGGGGATATGTTAAAGGAAGGGTCTACTATGCAACAGCCCCAGCCACTCTCGAAATCTTAGAAGAAAGGATTCTACCAGGGCCTACTCTAAGATAGAGTAGGCCCTGATTCTACAGGCATTCAGAAGTATAACGCCACAAATGTTACGAAACGTGTTGAGAAAAACAATTGAACGAGCTGAAATGTGTCTGGAGGAATGCACTTTGAAAATTTATCATAGTGAAAATTTTAAGAAATTAGGAAATTGAGAAAAATTCAAGTGCATCGCTAAAGTTATTGTTAATTTTGTTAAATTTGTTGATCCAAACGCAAATAAATTAGTATCGTTAGATTCGTCAAAATATTCTTTTTTTCGGGAAGTGCTTACAAAAGTTAATGAATTATTATCCATGGCATTCTAGACAAAAGTAAATAAATTATTATGAAGTATTTTCGTCAGTAATATGTAATTTATGTTCTTATTCGTAATCCAATCGCAGATAAATCAGTATCGTTAGATTCGTCAAAATATCCCTTTTTCGGAAAATGCTAGTCAAAAAATGGTCGCCATTTGAAAAATGATAGTTAGACACGAAATTTCAATTTTGCCAACTTCTCTTATTCATATCTATCCGAGATATATCATACGCGTCACTAAAACTTCGCGATTGTAATTTTCTGATATCACCTGAGGTCCTCAGATTAGTTTACTTCCTATCATGGCCACCTAGATGTAATTTCAAAAGTGACTCCGAAAAAACTAAGTAGGCTTACAAACTTTCGAAAATGTCACATTCTGATCTAGAATTGTCTCAGGAATCCATAAATGTTACAATTTACAGGGTGTTCCATTCAAAAATTTAGAACCCGGAAGTGGCCGGGAAGTGAAAAATATGTGAAAACTCTCCTCTTCACATACCATTGATCTATACGAAATTTCATTTTGATACACCTAATGGGCTAGAAGATACGACCTGTCTAATAGATTCGTTGACACCCGGTATATAGCGGCATTGGCAGGAAATTGTGGAATTTTTCTGCACTCAATGTACATGTTTCCTTCTTACATACATGTGTCAAAAAGAGGTGAATATACACTCACTAGAGAAACATTCCACCAGTTTCAGCCAAAGAAATTCGTTAATAGATTAGACCGTGGATTAGACATGAATTTAATATTTTAAGTGTAGCGCCTTTTCACTTTTCGATAGATACTTCCACGAAAATGTTCCTTGGAATATGTGAAACAACTCTATATCAAAACTCGTTCGTCTATAAAACCCTCGATAAAACCTAAAGCTTTGGAATTCTTCGTCTATCCTCCCTAAGTACGCACGATGTTCTTCGAACATCATAGGAATTTCTCTTGTGCGCTCCAAGAGAAAAAAACGAAAGGGACAAACTTGGTCCGAAGAGTAGAGAACATCTAGTCAAGTCTGAATAACCAAACTTTCATTATAGGGTTCCGTGCCTTCCGTTTGGGATATATAGGGTGATTTATCTCGAAAAATGCACTCATTAAAAATGTCGAAAAACAGGACCGAACTGAGAAATATCTATTTTCCTGAGATAACATCACTCTGTATGTTTGATATTGAAAATCTCAATTCATGGTCTCGTCTGAGGTCTTGTCGTTGGGACTTCCTTTATAGTTCTATATCCGTTATCACTTAGTTATTTTAGTTGGTACAGTCCATCCCATTCACAGTATTCTTCCTTACTCCTGACATTTCTATAATATTTTTTTATGTTCTGGTTCTCACGAAAAGGGAAATCCTGTAATGTTCAGAGAACATCGTGAGAACCAAGGGAAATATGGTAGGAATTGGTGTTCTTCTTGAATTTCTGGAGGTTATATGCCTCGGAGAACACCTTCCTTGGCAATGTGTTCCAGAGCCTCGCTGTTCGTTGGATGAACGAGTCTTTGGAAAGAGATGTTCTGCAGGTCTCCAAAGTGACCACGAAGGGGTGCGAAGCCTCAACCCGACGGGATAATCGCTCGGGGACTGCCAAGGAAGGTTCAATTGTTGATATTTCAGAAGAGCATCGTCCATGAAAATATCTTTAAAATAGAGCCAGATCGCCAACTTTTCTACGGTGTTCCAGAGAAGTGAGTGAGTTTGTGAGTGAGGCATGACCCACGAGACGAATTGCCCTTTTCTGAACAGAATCCAACAGTTTCAGGGTATGTTTGGGTGCCGCACTCCAAATATGGGAACAGTATTCCAGGACAGGTCGCAAACAAAATCTTAATAGAGGTTATGTTCTCAGAGGGCGTTTTCATAAAGTGTGAACCGATCTGAAACAGTCCTAGGATTCGAAACGACTGCGCACTAGTTCTGCGCAGTTCAAGAACGATTTTTGGACAGTTCTGAAATCGGGTCCCGAATGAACCTAACGTAACTGTTCATCCCTAGGTTCATCCCTCATTTCATGTTGGTAACCCTGTTAAAGTTCTCGAACTTAAATCGTAAAATCTGATGTGCTTGCTAAATTCACTGTATGTTTTCAGTTTCAGGGTAGCACGAAACTACTACACTACTAACATGTCGAATGGTTCTGCCTTAACCGCTTCGCGTCTGGTATATTCAGAGCCAGGTGACCCCATAAACGTGATACGAAAAGAGACTTTCCCTCTACCAGAACCAGGCGACCAGGAAGTCCTCCTGGAAATGTTGGCCGCACCTGTCAATCCTGTCGACGTCAACATAGTCCAAGGGAAATACCCGATGCAAGTGGAATGCCCTGGGTACGAAGGGGTAGCTAGAGTGATGAAACTAGGTCCAGGCGTTCGGAGTTTGAAGGTCGGGGATCACGTGATAGCCTTGAGGTACGTCGGCACATGGAGAACACACTTGGCATTGCCGGAACAGGTACTGCTGCAAGTTCCAAAGGAACTGGGGATAGCTGAGGCTGCGACTTTGACATGCAATCCGCCGACTGTCTACAGGATGTTGAAGGATTACGTTGAAGTGAAGCCCGGTGATACGGTTATCCAGAATGGCGCCAATTCCGCTTGCGGGGTTCTTGCTATCCAGATGTGCAGACAATGGGGTATCAATACTGTTAACGTGATCAGAGATAGACCCAACGTGGAGGAACTGAAAACTTTTCTAAAAAATCTAGGAGCTACTTACGTCTTCACGGAGGAGGAAATCAAAACTACTGACGTGTTCAAGACTGGCCGGCTTGAAAAACCGATGCTGGGCTTGAACTGCGTGGGGGGAAAAAATGCTGCGCAGCTGATTAGACATTTGGACTTTGGAGGTGTTTTGGTGACCTATGGAGGAATGTCTATGGAGCCCATTTATGTGCCAACTTCTGCGCTAATCTTCAGGGATATTCGTTTAGAGGGGATTAATATCAATAATTGGTTCGATCAAGAGAAGAACTTTGCAGACAGAGCGAAAATGTTCAAAGATCTCATTTCGATGCTAAAGAATGGCCAATTGAAAGCGCCTCCTCATGTTATGGTGAATTTTGAAAGGTATGAAGAAGCTCTGAAAAATACTTTGTCCAAAGATGGTATGGTGGGGAAAAAATATATTTTGGATTTTAGTGTTGTTCGTAGCAAATTTTAAAGTGTAGTGTAGTTGTATCTTGTGGAATTATCGTGGATCATTTTTGATTTCAAGTAAATATTGCTGGACTACCGAGCATATGCTCAAATGTGGAATCGTATAATTTATTTCTTTGTGATATAACAATGCTGTTACATATTCACATATTGATTGTCTCGTTTATTGTATATTTCAATAAATATTCATAAGGAATAATCGATAACGGTTCGAAATGATTCTCGACATATCAATGAAACTTTCCACAAACAGTACTTACATTTGCATTAGTACTCATTTCATTTTGTGTAACAATGATGCTGCAGATTTTCCTCATATCAATAAAACTTTCCACAAACAGTACTTACATTTACATTAGTACTCATTTTATTTTGTGTAACAATGATGCTGCAGTTGATTGGGAAATTCTAGATACCTAGACATTATTAGTGATGACTCTATTTCATAAAATTGTTTTGTAGTTGCCTTATTGTTTTATCATTTGATAATATGACGTGGTATTTGTTGATAATCACTGGTAATCAAGATATTCCCAATCTTCCTCTCATTCCTAAAAATGTCACAAAACAAATCATATGTGAGTTGTTACTGTCATGTGTGAATTGGAGCAATTCAAATAACCATGACTTTCGGTATGGATACATTTTTTGACCAATCGCAACGATTTCAGGTATGGCGTCGATACAATATGATTTATTATGTAGATCAGCTCAATGATCGTTCAATGTTATCAAATGCGATACAAACTTCTATATCAAAATTCCTATCACTAAAATTCTCACTAGTAAGTAAGTATTTTGTAGTTCTTAACAATTTCATCTGGAATTTCAATACACGGCTTATTTTCAATATCACAATTTCAGTAACTTGATGAACAATGATGAATACACACGGTGAATGGTATATTGCACCTTCAATCGAAATGAAAATCTGGATTGATAAAAATGATTTGAATCATTAATGAGTTGAATCGAATGAATTTCAAGTTGAAAACTGACAAAAAAATATCTTGTTGTGGTGACAAAACGAAACGTCCAAAGCTATATGTGAAAATCTGATATTTTTTATATACCTTCATTTCTCTTCTCCAAACATTTTTCAACACAATTTGTCAATAAAAAGTTAGTGAATTTTTCTTTTAGGCTCTCTGATAGGAAATATCTTTGAACGCAGTGACATTTTGGGGCAAATTATATATTGATATTCATATTTCCATTTTATAGAAACGAGGAGAGAAAATCCCAAAAAATCTGGAATAATCAATCAATCTCAGTTACTGAGTTACGGAAACAACCATATCCAAGATAGGAAAACATGATTTGGCACGAATACAACAGAGCCCAATTCAAGCGAAACGAATTCAAATTGAAACCAATCAATTTCAAATCGGAACTGAACAATATGGAATTGATCAATTCGGTAGCGAATTTGTTGAAGATACAAATCATGCCGATGAATGTAGATTTCGTTAGAATGTCTATTATGTTACACCCTAACTGAAATGAATGTAAGTGGTGAATCTATGTATAATTATTGATACCTATATAGTGCACTTATAAGAAGGGAAATCATGAAACTGAATCGCCTCGAAAATACATTTTGCATGAAGACAATAGACGAATCCCTTTTGCCGGAAATGAAGGAATAAAAATCTTGAATTAATTTACAACGCACAGAGATTTTCATTAATACAACGTCCGGTCAGAGAAAAAACTCCTAGTAGGCGAATAGCCATAAAGGGGTCGCTTTCGCGCGATTCGATTGTTTTAAATTAAGGGATAAATGCAAATCAGGCATTGTTGCGTTCTTTCAATTGTTACTTAAAACGAGCCACCGCGATTGTAACGGTGAGCGGCGATTTTTTGTTACCAAAGAATTGTATTAAGGGATATCTTTTGTTTTATGCCGTTAATCTTTTGTTTCGCGTCGGAGTTACGGTGGTGACTCGATTCCCGTTGCCGTTCGGAAACGGGGGTAAAAATTTATCGCCTTCATTAACATCGAGACGGCCGAAACTGATAATATTGGTGGTTGAATGCAAATGCACAGGAGGCGATAAAACATTTGAGCTCTACGTGTTGTTGCCCCGATTATATCTTTCATTAATTTCGACTCCGAACGATGCATTTGAAAAATATATTCCGAATTTATTGGTGAAACCATAACAAACACATAGCACATGCAAGCAAGTGGAAGAAATTCAGAAAGTCTCGGAAATATTCCATATATAGGGTTACTAGACGTACTCTTTTTGTAGTACAAGTACTCTTCTGCGATGCTTCTTTTTGCATACGGGAGGTAAATGTCCTCTTTTTTGATGGTAGACAAAATTTGATAATAATAATAAAAAGGGATATGAAAAAACTGAGAAACTATCAGGAAAAAACAAAGATATTTCTTGCTACAATTACAAGAAATCATATTACCGTTATACATTTTCGAATAGAAGCAGCACCTTGAAATCCTATGATAGCAATAACGACATTGCTGAAAGTGAATTTCCTGCCACAGGAAGGTATACTGCTGTCGCTATCAGGCAGCCACTCTAGGACAGCATGATTTTTTTATAATTGTCTAGCTGAACTACTACTAATATGCTTGTGGCTGCGAGGTTCATCGCATAGAACTGCACTCACTACCAATATACATTTGTCAGTCTGCCACGAAAATAATATTTGACGAACCTACTTGAGGTTATTTAGCGCCTACTTATCGTTATTCGATATTTTGCTTTCCCCCCCCTCTATATAATCTTTTGTCAGACATTTTGCTTGATCAATCATTCACAGTTGGGCTCTTGATGCAAACCCATGTACAGGACGACAATCTCGACGACACGACAGTTACGAATACTTCCCTTCTTGAATTCAATTCATTATTCAAAATCTGAATCTGAATTCAAATATAAAATGAAAACATTTTTGAACAAATAAAAAAATCTTCTGTGTCCCTTACAGTGCTCTCATAGATTTGAGGGCTTCAGTTATTACCAGGATTGATGGAATGAAAAAGGTGAGTTTTTTCGAGGTATTTCGACTGAAATTCAAATATTTCACATTCAACATTTCCTTCTTTTTGGTATCATGAAACTTTCGAATTGTCAAATATTTTCCAGAGCTTCTCTGTAGAATGTGGTCTAAAAACCTATTGTGAGCAAAAATGTTCAGGTAATAAAATTATTTGAATGATTTTACTGGTAACATTTTGTTTTCCTTCACACATCTGCTCGCACATCTGTAATAATTCAATTCTCGAAATAAAATGGTTCAGAAAGTTTCAGAAAAATTGTATTTTACATCAATTACTCAAAAACCTTTTCCTTTCCTTAGGGTGCATGAATCAATTGATCTATTGAATTTCATAAATCATTGGTATGCAATTTTCTTTAGGAATCAATGAATTGCTATTCATACCAAACATCAGGGTGGAAATTATGGAAAGTGGAATTGGATTTCAGTCAAAATTTCACTTTTCTTGATGACAACAATCCTGGAAAATAACTGAATAACTACAGCGAGAAGGTCATGCAACTATCTCTATGATCACCCATCAAGAGTTGCAAAGTTCCCTACCTACAATTATAACATTGCCCTACTCCCTTTATTAGATGCACTCACTAGCGGTAGCAAAGTCAGATACCTACTTCAGAAACATCGTCTAATTGCAATATACAGATGCACTCGCTAGTGGCAGCAAGGTTCTATATCTAATAATCGCAGGTGGGTTATAATCAGCAAAGTCGACTTTATAATCACAGGTGATAACTCGCTTGTCCCCTATGCTACTAGAGTTTCTTGCTGGGGTAATTCGATTTCTGACTATGAATTTTCCTCATTGTATAACGAACAATCTCTTCGCGGTTTGCTAGATCTCCTTGCTCCTTGCACCGGATCCAACCGTCATCTTATTCCGGCTGGCTCTTCCCTCGAAGTCATCGGGATGCAGCGCTAACAGAATCTTAATATGGAACGTAATAAATACCTACCAACAATGAGAAGTAATAAAATAGGGCTGGTCTAACTTTTGCCTGCCGACATTAATCACGATTATAATACAGTCTCGACGGTATATTAGGAATATCTTCCTGTGAATTTCGAAGTATAAAAGCTAAATGCCTCAGCACCGGATTCCGGATGGCGCTTGGAGGTTGCCTAACCGCCTAGGAGTTTACGAATCCAGATACAGCTTATTACCGAAATGTGACAACGAGAAGGACTCGCTCTCGGTTATTATTGCAAGGAGAAGAAAAACTGCTTCTCCTTGACGTTACATTCCGTAGCAGTAAATTTCCTTGATTGTCCTGGATGAAAATTAGGATTAACTTGGCCGCTTATGAGGATATATATCCATATTTTATAATTTAATGGAGAATTCTCAGGTATTCTCTATTAAATTAACACTTTGAACCTGTAAAATATTTTCATGCTAGCATTATGAATTACTAATTCTCATCCAAACCGATTACATATTGAGATCTGTAGGTATTTTGTTTCATTCTCTTACAAACACCAATGAATAAGAGTATTGAGAAGAACTATAAGATTATCTAGAACACGTGACCATATGTTCCTTCAAAAATGGCCGCTGGAGTACATACACTCCAAGTAAAAATTAGACGTTCTGTTTTTTGTTCTCGAAGCCGAAGTGATTTCTAACCTATCTTGTCTGCTAATATGATTTTCCGGACATGTAGGTGGTTGCACGGCTGCTAGCGGGCAGTGTATATCACTAATGGTAAATGAACTATTTTTTGTTCCTGGAAATTTGACAATCCCAACTCGATAATTACGTAAGATGCTGGGGTGTTTCGATGAAAAGTGAAATGGGACAAAAATGAAATTTTCAGTACAGAATATTTCTTCAGGAGAAATATTAGTGAATTGGGCGTCCTGATTCTGAATCAGGAGTGATTTTAAACCTATTTTGCGTCCTATTATCATTTTTCGGAAATTGGGATGATTCCATTGCTGATGGTGGCGACCAGTGTATATCACTGAAGACTTATTGGTCATAGAGTACATTTTTGGTATATTTCTCGCTCCATCGAACTTCAGGATCCTAACCCAACAATTACGTAAGAAACGGGGGTTGTTTCCATGAGAAGTGAGACAAAAATGAAAATTTCAGAACTGAAAATTTCACAGAAAAATTTGAATAGTTAGTGAATTGGATGTCTTGATTCCGAATACGAAG